TGTAGATGTTCTGCATTAACAAACTGCTTGCCGTAAATCACACATGCAGGTTTCTACCGGCTATTGGCTGCTAGTTTTCTTCTGCAGCGGAAGCGTGCTGGCTATTTGCCTACGGAGGCAGAATTGAACTGCCCGTGTGCCAGTCGGTTCTTAATTTCATGCTCGTGTCGCTGTGTATATGTATGTTGACTTTGCAGAGCCAAGCGGGCAACACAGGGCCATGGTCAAGTCCAGTGTTCCGCAAGTGGATCCCACACCTAAAAGCAGCGCTCAGCTGTGGCACAATCCGCACGGAATGCCATGCCGAAGGACTGCTCACCGATATGCAGAAGAAGGAATTGATGGGAGTAGAATATGATTCTGCCAAACACAATGACCGACTGCTAGATATGCTGAGCAGGGGTACAGCTGAGACTTTCCACACCTTCTGTAGTATAGTGCGTAGCACCGAACCTGAAGCAAACTTTTCAAAGTTCCTAGATGACATGCAGTCAGTGGATACCTTTGTTGGAGGTAAGTAGACATTTTATCAGTCAGGTGACTGAGAGACACTCACAGAATTGTATTACATGTACAGCAAGTACTGTTGGATACCATTAGTACTTGGGTGACAATCTGAGAAACGTTCATGTTTGGAAAAGAAGAAGTGAGGACCCTGGTGTTCCAGCCTCAATGCCAACTTGGGCAAGCCACTAAACTCCCCTGGCTTCAGCTGACTATTTTGCGTAATGTGGAACCTACCAGAAGTTGGGCAGGGGAAGTTGGGCAGAGGAAGGTGGTGAGGGGGCGGTGTGTTGGGACGCATTGGGTTGGGATACGTTGGGGTGGGAAACAATAGGCATGGGCTCCGAGTGGAACACAAGATGGTCACATCTCAGAAGGTTTTGGATTCCAAGGACGCATGGAGAGTTGGCCTTTCTCAGGATATCCAAACACCAGCGGCTGTACTGCGTAGTCGTGTCTTGTGGTGTTGTACATTCTGGCTGAAGAAGCAGCAGGTCTTAGTCAAGCATGTTAACAACTGAATTTGTTGTCCTTCTACCGGTATGTTTGGTGGCGCATGCGTGTGTGGTCTCCAGTTTCTCCAGAATTTAAAAAAGACAATAAAGTAGTAGAGCTGATGAAAGTGTTCTCAGCACCGGAACGTCAACGATTGGTCCACACTGCCGAGGATGTGGCACGAATGCGCACGTCACAGACCGTCCTTGCCAAGAGAAAGAAACCCATCCACGTACCACAGCCAACCTCGCCTGTGAGCGTAGACTTGCTGAGCATGCGGAACATGGGAGAAGGTAGGCGCAGGGCTATGAGAGAGGCTAAACTGCACGTTAAATTTTGATGTGACGCGCAATTCTCCGTCAAACGAGTCCTCGACGTGAGCTGCAGGTCTCTCACGTTGTTTTTCAACGCGCGGGCCAAATAACGCGTCACGTCAAAAATAACGTGCAGCTTATCCCCTCTTTTATCTACTGGTGTGGTGTTTGAACCCGGACCTGGAGCCAATGTTATCATGGAAAAGAGGACAAAATATGCATTCAATCTACACGTAGCAGTATGTGCATTGTCCCAGTGATTGCATTTTCCCACAGTTGGAGACATCCGTTAGTATGGTTTTACTCTCTCATTGTTCTTGTACATTGCAAGTACATCGTGTGCAGTAATCCATGACTCACGTATAAACTGAGTGCAAGGTGATTTTCTACCCTGTGCAATTTTCTGTCCACTAGAAATTTGCTTTCAGTTTTTATCATCCCGGTTCTGCTTTGATCCTTGAAGGGTGGTAGAGTTCCTACGGATGCGGAAAGCTTGGCGTTTAGCTTAGTCTCACCCGATACATGGAATTTTTATTTTCCTGCATTGGTCTTGCTCAGAACAACGGCAAGCGGCATTGACTAAAATCGACTGTTTGGCGCCCAACACTATCATCATTGATGACATGAAGGACTGTGCAGATGAGGCAGGGAAGTACCAGGGTCACGTAACACGGGCCGACGGCCGAGTTGGTAAGCAATAAATTGTACCTGTCTCTAGTGCATCAGCATGTACAGTTTGCAGATTGGTAATATCTCATCACCACCGCCGCCGCCACCACTAGAGAACTCCGGCGCCTAAATGCATCGAAAGCTACTGGACCGGATTGCATTCCCGCGCGAGTTCTGAAGATGTGTGCTGACCCCCTAAGTAAGCCACTCTCCAAACTGTTCTCCCTTAGCTTCTACAGCATGGTTATGCCGACATCCTGGAAGACAGCTAGAGTCACACCCATTCACAAGAAGAAATCCAAGAACCTGCCTCAACACTACAGACCTGTGTCTCTGCTGTCTATCATATCCAAAGTGATGGAAACAATTGTCAATCGTCAGATAACCAGTTTCGTGGAGTCACACAATGTCATCTCTGCGAAACAGTTGGGGTTAAGAAAGGGCCTGAGCACAGCCGACGTCTTAACCAAGCTCCACTGTGAATGGTCCAGAGCAGCCGGCCTAGGAGGAGCCGCCCATGTTTTGGCGATAGACATAGCAGGCGCCTTTGATAAAGTCAGCCATGCTGGCCTGCTGCATAAGGCTTCCGTGTACGGTCTAGACGGCCCGCTTCTCGGATGGCTGGAAAGCTACCTGCACAACCGGCGCCTGCAGGCTGTTGTGGGCGGCCAAGAGTCCTCCCTGCACCATATCCAAGCAGGGGTACCACAAGGTAGCATCCTTGGACCAACGTTATTCCTCCTGTACGTAAATGACTGCGAGGACACCTTGCCTGCTGGTGCTGAGCTAGCCATGTATGCAGATGACATGACACCGTATCAGTGCATCTCTGCCACCGCCAGCATATCCGACTCTGCAGCACAACTCCAGGAAGCAGTGGACGCCGTCTCCCACTGGGGTTCCAAGTGGAAGGTCACCTTCGAGCCATCCAAATCTCAGGCCCTCATCATCGACCACCGCAAGCCTCCCCAGCGTTCCCACCAGTGCTCTTCAATGGAGTGACTGTTCCTGAAGAGAACTGGGCATAGCATTCGACTCGCAACTGTCCTACGCAGCACACCTCCGGGCCGTGGCCTCAAAGGCTGCCCAACGCCTACACTTCCTGAGAAAGGTTGCGCCCCTGTTGGACTCCAGTGGCCGCACGGCAGTCTACAAAGGCTTCGTGCGGCCAACAATGGAATACTGCTGCCTGGTGTGGATGGGGTCAGGTACATCCAGACTGGACAAAATCCAGCACAAGGCACTGAAGGTGATTGGCCCAGGCGCCTGGCTCCCCAGCCTGAAACACCGCCGACTGGTTGCTGCGCTTTCGTTCACGTTCAAGCTGTCTTACCTTCCAACAACAAGCCCCCTGAAGCCCATCTTCCCACCTCCAGCCAATCCCCGCCCAGTGGGTGGTCGATCCACTAGGTTAGCCACGGAGACTGCCCACTGCCACCCGCTCCAGCTCAAGTCGACGCTGCCCGTGCGCATTCGTAGCAGCCTCCAGGGTTCCTACCCAGACTGTATTATTCCCTTGTGGAACAGCCTACCAGCGACCATTCTACCAGCACGGCCGCAACCCAGCCAGCTCCAATCATTCAAGGAAAAATGCAACAAGTACAGTCGACCTACCCTTATAACGATAACCTCTATAACGATATTACTCTTATAACGATATTTTTCTGCCAAACCAAATCACTCCATTGACTTGTGTATACAATGCCTTACCTCTATAACAATATTGCTATAACGATATTACCCCTATAACGATATAAAATGGGCTGACCAATGGACATTTTCCATTTTATAACAATATCTAGCAGGGAATATGTAGAGCCTACTATCCAGGTAGGGCAAGCTTCACTTGATAAGTCGTTGGGACATGACGAAATGCAATGGGGCACCAGTGGGCACCTTGCTGTGCACATAATGTGCATGTATGTCAGTTTTTATGCTATGGAGAATGTAAAAAATGAACAAAATCCATGCATTATGACGTATGTGTATGAAATGAAACAGTTACCCCTATAACAATATTACCCTTATAACAATATTTCTTGGTGTGAAGCAAATATCGTTATAAGGGTAGGTCGACTGTATCTGCTGCACCTGAACTGGCAAGCAGCCACCGACGCCCCATGAAACGGTTTAGACCAGTGCCTCACTAGCATCCTCCCCCCCTACCACAATGTGACGTTATCTTTCACTCTGCTTCTCTCACGACCATCTACCCATTGTCCTTGTTTCTCACTATTATTCATTTCCCCTCTTCCTCCCCTCTTCATGGTTTTACTGCATTATGGCGCGCTTTGTCTGCGTAGACGCCGAGACCTTTGAGGTCGGCAGAGCAGCCTGGCCCCGCCACCACTTCTCGCACATATTCGGGAATATAGTGGACTTCCGTATAAAAAAAATTAAAAAAACTACAACACCACCATCACCACCACCACCACCCTGCTTTGTGCTGTAGCAGTTGGTGCAATGCGTGGTGCTCTCCTCAGGGCTTCGTTGTTTGCGCACACTCTTGCTTCTCTGTAATGCTCTTCAATGCGGTCCCTGACACATTGCTCCGGCTCTCCGACATAATCTTCTCCATGAAATAAACAGAGCATTGAGTAGATAACATTCGACTACATTAACTGACCGCCACTCGTACCAACATCACATTCACAACATCCCCTTTGCCTCCACTTTCTCTTCTCCTTTCTGTACACCTCTCGGGAGGGGTGGGAGGGGTGGGGGCACTCAGGACTGGTGAATGAAGACAGCACCAGCATGTCTTTCAGAGATCTACCAGGCTGAAAGACACCACACGCGCTCCTATTGTATGGCAATCGTCATGGACCAAACTGCAATCACTGATGAATAGAACATTGAGGCTGGGCGTGAATGTATTCTTGGTGCGGCCGGTAGCTTGTCTTGGCATGGGTGTGCTCAAACCCATCCAGGCTCTCAGTCGTTGTTTAAACTTATCTGAACTGGCTTTCACTGTGTTTGGTGTGTTTGTCCCTTTTGCATCTTTCTCGTCTGTCGCAGAAAAATCACCAGCTGATATACATAGAGAGTTAAGTAAGCATCCTTGTTTCATCAGCATGGGGTCTGCCAGGGACGGCCGCAGCATTTCAGAGACCAAGCAGTACTTGAAGGATACTGGCTTCATTGACGAGAACACGGTTATCACAGAGATCACTGAATATGTACGAGTCCCTGTGACTAGGCTGGCCATTCGTGACAGCAAACGACTGATGTTTAAAGGTCAGCATTACTGTGCTAGCATGATTGCGCGATTGCTTGATAAGGGAGCTGCCGAATGCCAGATAGTCTGTCATATTACTTAACTCACCCCGCTTTAGGAGCTCCACTTTCCACCTTTCATGTGTGTGTGTGTGTGTGTGTGTGTGTGTGTGTGTGTGTGTGTGTGTGTGTGTGTGTGTGTGTGTGTGTGTGTGTGTGTGTGTGTGTATGGGTGTGTGCGCATGCACGAGCAAGAACTACTGCCTCGCCTAATAGCTATCATCGCCTTCGGCAAAGGGCTTTCCAAAGGTCCGAAGGTGTGTGTGTGTGTGTGTGTGTGTGTTTGTGTGTGTATGGGTGTGTGCGCATGCACGAGCATGAGTATGTGTGTGTGCACACAAGCGCGTGTGTAGCGCGTGTGTGTATGTGCCTGCGCACATGTGTGGGTGTGTGTGTGTGGTTGTTTGCCAGTGTCTGCATGTATTTGGGCCATCATTTCCCATATTACGCTAGTACCATGTAAGCAAGTGATCAGATATGAACGGCAAAGAGGCATAGGTTACCTAATACATGTACATGGGAGCATCCGGTCGTTTGTATTGCCGGTTCTACACTTGAGATGGTATCCAGTATGTGTCACATGATATTGTGCGCATCCCGCCATGTTTTTCATGCACGTACTAGTAAACATGACGAGCAGATCAAAGGTGCAGGTGCAAAGGCCGCATCTTGGTCTTATACGAAATTGAAATTTTTGTGCTAGACTAATAGCGAAAAATAATTATACTCACAAGTTAAAGGGGAAGTTAAGGTTAAAATCAAATTTTCTCCAGTTGTAGTCTTCGGGGTGCTGAGTCGAATGGTCTTGGTCCGAGGAAGCTGAGATGCTCCCTTCCTACTTTAATCCCAATCGAACTCGTGCATTTCCACCGAAACTGGGTGACTGCGCCCTACGAGATGGGGATTTGTATGCAAAATGTCACTAAAAGCGCCATTTCGTTCTTATAAAAGCACGGATGACCGCGATTGGCCCATATGTTGTAGTCTTTTGGCCGCTGAGTCGACTGGTTTTGGTCCGAAAAGGCTGCGATGCAGCGTTCCTCCTTTATTCCCAATCGAACATGGTTGAACAAGCGGTCACATGCTGCTGCGTACACCAGTCACCTGGTCACCGTGCCTGCAGGGTACAACTTACTAGCCTGTTTGACCTTTTTTGGGTGCAGTCCTGTCACTCGAGTTGAACTCGAGTTGAACCTTGGTGTGAAAGTTGTCGCCTGCTGGCGCTGTGATCAGGTGACTTGGGCACGCAGGAGCACGTGACCGCTTGTTCAATCATGTTAGATTGGGAATAGAGGAGGAACGCTGCATCGCAGCTTTCTCGGACCAAAACCAGTCGACTCAGCGTCCAAAAGACTACAACATATGGGCCAATCGCGGTCATCCGTGCTTTTATAAGAACGAAATGGCGCTTTTAGTGACATTTTGCATACAAATCCCCATATCGTAGGGCGCAGTCACCAAGTTTCGGTGGAAGTGCGCAAGTTCGATTGGGATTAAAGTAAGAAGGGAGCGTCTCAGCTTCCTCGGACCACGATCATTCGACTCAGCACCCCAAAGACTTCAACTGGTGAAATTTTGATTTTAGCCTTAACTTCCCCTTTAATGATGCTCAATTCCCTCATTACTTCATGACACAACCTATTTACTCTTCAGGGCTATCCATTGCTATCACTTCATGCTTACTTGCATGAAAAATACAATCACCCCTTTCAGTCGAACTTCCCCATTTTCTTCTTTATTCGGTCTCTGACTCGATGGATGTGTACATGCGTGAACGTGCATGTGTCACTGTGCATGCATATGCACTGTTATTATTCTGAAACAGACGAGAGCTCATTTATAGTGAAGTTCATCATTGGATGTGAATATAATCTATCGGCCCCGAGTTTCATTAAAAGTGTCATACGTAATCTCCGCAATCTCCTTGGCGATTGGAGCATCCACGCCGACAGCGTGCACGGCGAGAGCGGAGACACAGCAGTGTTTGTACAGATGTCTGCCAAGGCTCATACCAGGCTCTGGGAGTTCTGTAAGGATCGATCTAGCCTGCTCGCTGGTCTGTACATTCTCGAAGTGTCAACTGTGGACGGAGCAGTAGCCTTCAATACCCGTCCCACGACGTGCATTGGCGAAGGTAAGACGAATTGGTGCTGTAGGAAATAGGAATGCACCGATAGAAGCCAGTTAACTCCCTAGCCTTGCTTCCACGATGATAGGGAAGTCATCACTAGTCAACAGACGACTGGCTGTCGTCTGGGAAAGTGGTTGGTGCATGCACATTTCGGTCCATGATGTTTGTCCGCACACAAGTTTTCGAGGAGACCCTTTTGACAGAACAAAGTAGTGTTCACAACCAAACAGCTTCATTGATATGCTTCAATTTACCTCTGGAGCAAAAAGTTCGAGAAACTTTGTTTTCTTGTTCAGGTATTACTCCTGATGACCAGAAGCGCTTGGTTGAAGTGTTCTCCAAGAGATATCCATCCTTGGACCGAGATGAGCTGTCTGTCGCTGTGGCTGACCAACAGAACGTTCAGCATGCAGTGATTGCACTGACCAAGCTCGTCTTCCATGATGATGGAGCATGCTTGAATGCACTGCCTGAGATTCTTGGTGGTGAGTTTCAATACCATTGTTTTGTGGTTGTGTTGCGTGTACTGTGTCTATTTGGTCCTGCTGTCACTGTTGCGAACCGGTGTGCATCAGCGATAATATTTACATCGTGTTATGAAAGCACAAACGCCATATCATTTTGGCAATGTCACTGGGAGCATAATGAAGAGAAATGGTGCGTATTGCCCCATCGGAATAATCGGAGGACGGTTTGGTGCATGTATTGATGAACTTGCGGTCCTTTAGAAAAGCCTCCCTTTGTACTGAACTTCTCCAGGCCATTTTGCTGCAAGTAGAATTTTCAGTAAGTCTGTGGAGGGTATTCCCCTATAAAGGTGATGTGTGTGTGGGGGGGGGGGGGAGGGAGGAGGGGGAGGGGGACATATGAATCTCTCGCATCTTAGCACCAGCAACGTTACGCGCTGTTATGCGGGATTCACAGGAGCATTTTTACGATGCAATACGCAATGCGACATCCGCGAAATCAGGAAATTCCCAAAACGCACCGATTGAGCAGCTCACTCAGCCGTCACAACTGGCCCATCGCAGAAGTTGAGCTTGCCACTGCTTGGCTCAATTTTCGCGATGCGACATGCGATGTGATGAACGGTTTTGTAGTCCGCCGGCTGTCGCCGTGTCCAACCATTTACGCGGGTCACTGTCTGAAACTGGAGTAGCCATGTCCTCCAATCGCTGTCACGGTTACCAGAAAATATCTGGGGAGTAGCCCAAGCACGAACAGGGACACCAGCTGCCCGGTTTCCCACAACACCTGCTGAAGCTGGCAGTGGTGGTGGTGGAGGTGGAGGTGCTACTGCTGCAGCTGCTTGTGCCTGAGCACCACGAGCACCACGATGAGCCATTATGCTATACTGCTCTGTGACTGATTTTCGAAATTTTATTTATTTTTCAGCCACTTCCAAATTCGAAAGAGCCTGACAAAACTACTTTATCGATGCCACCAGATGTAACCTGCTTGCTTGCAGGATTACTTAGGATTATTTTATTTCCACAGAAGTCAAAGAAAAGAATTACAATAATGAATTCAATATTTAACTCGGATGGTGAGCCTATTAAATTATTGTGAAAGGAAGAAGGACAAAATGTTACGAGTTATGACTAACTGTCCACCAACGTAACCAGATCTTATACAGTCAGCGTCGAGTTGTGGTAAGGCCGGTATGTCCAATAGTCTTACTAGTTTCGTCATCATCCAGCAACTTTCGGCATTCTTTGTTGCCGTGATGCGTAGTTCGTGCTCTTCTTCGTTGCGCTTTCCTTCCCCTCTTGGACCTTTCCGAACCTGAGCCTTCCAAGTTGGAAGGTTGTTGGTTTGCGCCTTGGAGAAGTGTTGGAGCTAGGTGTCAAGCTGCCGAATGTCTCAGTACTCCTTGTCAGTTTTGTGCCATTTTGTCGCACTCGCTGACTGTATAAGATCTGGTTACGTTGGTGGACAGTTAGTCATAACTCGTAACATTTTGTCCTTCTTCTTTTCACAATAATAATGAATTCACTCCAGAAGCAAAGACAAAATCCCACAAGTAAAAGGAAACTTCGTCTCTCTCAAAATCAACTTCCTCTCTCTCAGTGTGCATGCTCAAAGACTCAAGAAAAAGAGAAGAACAGAAAAAGTACATTGCGAGATTTGAACCCAAAAATGCAGAACCCGAAACCTGTAATGAACGTACCGTATTTCACCGGTTATAGGTCGACCCCCATATCCGGAGGTCTCAATTCTGCGTTTTAAAGTTTTCACCTAAAGAAGCACCTCTAATCACCTCCTGCTACTAACATCAACGAATCATGTAAACATTCCTTATTGGAGGGTATAACGTCCCAATCCTTGAAAAAAAATGCCAATAATCTGGCAACAATGTGTACACATGGTGCACTCGTGCATGCAGTGCAGGTCATTGTTTGTACGAGACTGATAGCTCCCGGTTATAAGTCGAATCCCGGTTGTAAGTCGACCCCCACCCTTTCTCCGGCTATTTCAAGTCGTAAAAGGTCGACTTACAACCGGAAAAATACGGTATGTAGCTAATATATTATTATTACCGTATTATCTCTAATATAAGCACGGTCCTTCATTTTTTCAATGTACCTCCGCCCCGTGCTATTAATGGAGACGTTCCTTTATTGGAGACTGTTCCATTATTATTTCAACCTCATTTCAGAGGCATGTTGCCATGCCAAATTCATGTATGACGGACACATTTCAGGGTTTTTTTCGCCGGTACAGATAATAAATTTACACAGTGTGCTTATAATGGAGACTGAGCACTTTATTTTTTGAATGCCGCCCCAAGGTGTTCTATTATTGGAGACGTGCTATTATTGGAGACTGTGCTTATATTAGAGATAATACGAGAGATAATACGTATAGATTATAGACCGGTTAGGAGGTCTATACAGGATATATAGACCGAGTAAAAGACCGAGGTCCCCCGAGGTCTTTTACGAGGTCTATATATCCTGTATAGACCAACTATGAGGTCTATAATCTATTTATCGTGTTCTCCACGCAATAGTTTCTCTCCATATACGACATATCCTTAAAATTCTAGTATTATACTATAGCCTATACCGCATTGTACGGCAGTGCAGGATCAAGGTCAATGTTTAAATTAGGTTCAGCATCGGTAGCACAGTGGCTGGGTGGTAAGGAAGAGTGACTGAGATTCACATGGTTGTGGGTTCGAATCCCATCTTGTGTATTTCTGCTTTCTTCAAAAATTTCTTTTTCCAAGTTGGAGAGAAAATTTCTAAGTCCAAGAAGTTCTAAGGAGTCAAATATAAGTAGTCAAATATATCGTGTATTTGACTAAGCAGTCAAATACGCGATATATTTGACCGCTTAGGTATCAGGGAAATTAGTGGGGTCAAATACTAAGAAGGCGATAAGGTATTAGTATTATTAAAAGCATGTCCGCGTAGGTGGCGGGGGTGCCACTTTCGCTTATGCCATTCAGGATTGATGTCTGAAGAGTAATACGATACAATGTAGCTAATAAGGCATATAAATGAAACTGCTCATCATATGGATATAAACATGAGATTGCAGACAGACATACATGTTACATAAGTATAACCTTCACTGGGGGCAGGGGCAACTGCACATGGATCCCTGGACGGATACCCTGATGCAGTCAATCCTTTTTCTACACCTTGTCCTCACCCACTTATTGGGGTGTGGTGAGACCATAAGTGGGATCATTTTCCAAGTCCATCCAGACTTTCGGGATTTCAGGGGTGTCATCAGTCGGGAGGTTACGAGCTCGTAATAGCCAATTGAGTTATCTTCCAAGATTCCTTTTGAATCTCTCCCCTCTCCCGGGGAGACCCACATCACCAGTTTTGGCAGTGAGCAAATATGTGTGTGTGTGTGTGTGTTTGTGTGTGCGTGCGCATGTGCGTGTCTGTCTGTCTGTGTGTCTGTGTGTCTGTGTGTCTGTGTGTATGTCTGTATGTCTCTCTGACTGCCAACAGAGAGCTTAACTGCCAAGCCCATTGCTCCATCTCTGACTGGACGCGAGTCGGTTACCAATAAGGCAACAGGTAATTCAGCAACGCCTCCCGAGCCAAACTCTCTGGTAAGAGACATAATTATATATGACAGGAGTCACAGTGCGTTATGCTAGAGCTTATAATTATTGTAATGCAAAACTGAAGTCTGTAGAGAGTGGAGCCTATATCAGTCCACACTCCTTGTGTATTTTTGAGGGGGCCATCGGGATTGGGCACTGCCCGTAGCGCCGAATCACCTGTTTTTTGATTGGGAGAGGCCATAGAGATATGAAATGTGATCTTACTATTTCCAATAAAAGTAGCAAAGGAGTAGTTAAGCTCACCCAACTTCAGTGCCCGGATAAATGAGGTATAAGTCTACAATCCATGCAGTATCATGTGATCAAGGGACTAGTAGTACATAGAGAGACGGCACGGTGCATCCTATCACTGCCTCCTGTGGGCTTCGAGCCTGGGCGGTCCCTTACTGTCACCCTTCCAGGGCTCATGACATGAAATCGAACGGCGAGATTCCATTCATGGATCGACTCAAGTGCGTAATGAAATTCACCCACTGTGCCTGCCTGGGTTGCTATGGCAAATATGGTCGCGCGAGCAGCTACCAAGGCCAGAGTAACGAAGGGTGTCACAGAAATACGGGGTGCAGGATACCTAGGCAAAGGATGTACGGGGAATGTTTTGGAGATGAGGACCTAACACTTGTCTGGGCGCACGTGCGGTCAGCAAGTCAGCAAGTCATTGCTGTGTCCCCTGCTACAATAGCGTGCGCATGTGACGGCAGTTGCATCAGCCTTATACATTCGTAATTGTGGTGTCAATAAATCCACTAAATGTGACAAAAGGGTAGAAGAAGTGTCCCCACTGAAACTCATCCAAAGGGTGTCCGGTAGACCGAAGTACCCGTAACTACGGGGTCCAGATGACTGACGTAGGAGTGTGTTTTGCCCTTTGAAGAGGTCGAGGCATTTCTTCATGATGATAATGCGGTTGAATTACTCGCTGCAGCATTCCTAAGTGGTGAATATCACCAGTCTGATGTTGAAGAGTGACATGAGGTTGTGGTCCATTGGTAGGGAGTTCAGTTCCGGTCGCCGAAAAGCGAAAGCTTCCAACAATAATGCCTCCGCGCTAAGACTTCGAAGTACTAATTTCGACCAGATGCGTACTCGGCCCCGCGAGGAACACCCGATTTTCGTTTTCAACGGCCTCGAATTAGTCTAAAACAAGAGGATTCTAGAATATTTAGGCTCGCGCTTTATCACGATAGAAGGAAAATGATCACAGGAACCAGCCCACGGCGATTTCCTGGTGGTTGACAAAAAATATCGAGTGAACTGCGCGCACACTGTAGAAGCAGTGACGGTGAAAACGTGTGACGTTTGCAAGTAGGCGCGCGCGGCATGCATGTGTGTGCACACTGCATGCATGCACACACATCCCGTATCGCCATGTACGCACCAGATAGTGCAGTACTGGACGGAAACCACACGGCCCACATACGTACTTGCATTTACTTCTGTGACTATTTTCACCCCCATTTTCCGATCTTCAATCAACTATAACCCTAGATTGCCTTGGAATTTTGAGTTCAAATTTTCACAGGTTGTTTCTCACATCTTCCCGGTTTCGTAAACAAGCGTTTTATGCGAAACTCGCGAATTTGGTTTTCAATAGACCCTTTGCACAATAACGGTCACGTGATCCGAGACGGGGCATCCTCTTCGATTTTTGTGCAGAGTATCAGTTGTTGAGCATGGTGGAACACTGTATTTTTCCATTTTGGAGATGGAGGAGAGAGTGTCGAGTGGTTTGCCATCGATGGCTGTGGAACCCGTGGACGAACTGTCAAATGAAAAATGGTCTGTGAAGGAACTGAACAGTTTTCTGCTGAATGAGGGTGCGTATCTGTCTGGAAAAAGAAGGAGTTGTTGGAGAGGTAAGTTTTCCGCATTCAGTGGATATTTCGGTTTACTGTAGATTGAAATTTATTTTTCTTTTCTCTACCTTCTCTCCCCCGTCAATGTAGAGAACACTTCTCTATGCAGAACCCTGATGCTCCTAGAACTAAGAAGGGCACCACTTCCTCGAGTGTACCTTCATCATGCCCAACGTTTCATGCGTCCGACTCCCAGTGGATGAGTGATGAACCTCTGTTTCCCAGAGTGAGTGCCACAGCATGCTTGCTTGTCTCCAACGCAGGGGCAAGTCGCCGACGACAGTGAAGAAGGAGCTGATGGAGTAGTACAAGTGAACAGGCCCGTGGATAGTGTCCATGAGTTTTACTTTGGTGGCTATGTGCATAATGTGAAAGTCTGTCATATCGTGCACACAGCCACAGCTCGAACTCAGATGACTTTCTCCGCACACCTGAACGATGAGGCTGCGTCTCTCTCCACTTCAACATCAACAGCTCAAGCAGCGCCAGCAAGCAGTCGATCTTCCAATAGCGAAGACAGGGATGGGTCATGCCTTTTTCTCAAGCTCCAGAGTCTCGTGGCAGGGCGTTCCATATCTTCGCAAAAGCAAGGTCGGATGAAAGTCGTCATGGATAAAGTGTTCCGAGCACAATACTGGGAACGATATCGCAGCACTGCGGCCCTCTTCTCGCCAGATAGCCAGGATTCCAGAGTGTGGAATGCCAGCATCACCAGGGAACGCATGGAAAGACAAGTGGGTTCCTTAGACTAACGTTAGGGATGACGGTTGCTGCAAACAAGAACCCAACAGTGGTCCTTGGAAAACGTTTCGGAACTTACTTCTTCCTTCAGAACTAAAAAAACTTCAAATATAAAAAGGCTGCGGAGTACATACATGAACATCGCGTCGGGACCGTGAAAACACAGCCTGTCACAGGAAACTTGATCACGTCCTGCAGCAAACCACGCATGCTGGTTGCATGCCAAGTGTGCAGCGCGTGCACAGCATGCCCCGTCTCGACCCCTCTCGCTTATTGTGCAAAGGGTCTATTGAACTCCCTACCATTGGTAGTAAACGTTGTGTGACGTGTTGCAGCCTTCTCGAATCATCATCATTCGATTAAGCACCCCGAAAACTACAGCTTCTTAGCATGTCATTTCGTCCGTGATTGTCGTCCATGGCAAAACAGCGCTTCAAGTGAATGTTTTGCACAAACCCCTTTCTAGTAAGGGTAACTCGCTGGGCTTTGGCAGAGGTGCGCAGATTTGATTGGGGATGTAAGATGAAGGGAGCTTCCTCGTACGAAGGGGATGTAGGAGGCAGGGAGCTTCCTCGAACAAACCCCATTCAACTCGGCAGTCAGCGGAGAACAAGAAGTGAGATTTCGATGTTGGCCGCCGTACTTCCCCTTTATACTATAAAGCAAGGTGCTGAAAACTATTACTCCATATCCGATAACTTTTCGTACGAAATATCTCTGCCTGTGAAGAAGAGGTTGAAGCTACTCCCGCAATACTTGGGGAATGATTGTGTGCTGCTCCCTACGTGGGAGCTCGCGTTTTTCCTGCCGACATAAATTCTCACTTGACTGACTCATGACTGCCATCCAGAATTCAAGTCAGCAGGGGAAAACACCAGCTACCACCTAGGGAGCAACACACAGTTCCTATGAAAAAAAATTAGAAAAGGATTTACCGGGTGTTAGCGGCCGTCGTGAGTTCCCTTCGGGAACGGACACGATAATTTACGTTTTTTTAATATGGAAGAGAGGGGATCCTAGTGGAAATTGTTGTGACTCAAAGTTTCATGCCGTAGCAATCATCAGACGACTTGTCTGATGATTGCTTCGGCATGAAACTTTGACAAAGAAAGTTGTAGACATCACGCAACTGTATTATGAAGAAATGGGGGTTTGTCAACTGACAACCGCTCTATTCAGTTTCTTTTCACAATCTATGCATGCGCTGCATTAAAAATTCTTTGTTGTGATGTTGGAAAAACTAATGACGTTTCGGGCCAGTCACCCATCGTCAGAGCAATTTCCAAGGGGCGAACCTGGCCTTTTTATAGCGAAAGCAAGCCAGAGCGTATGTATGTCCATGTACAAAAAATACACGAAACACACAATGAAACTTTGAGTCAAAATATTTTTCGACTTGGATCCTCTCTCTGCCATACGCAGAAGCCCTGCACCCTGCGCACAAAGTACTCTTTAGGCAGCGTGCCACACTTTTTCAAGGGTATTTTATAGTTTATACTGGACTTTCACTGCGTATTGAAACAAATCACACCAGTGAGAAAAGAGTTTTACACGTCTGAAAGTGTAGTGTAGATGTTCTGCATTAACAAACCGCTTGCCGTAAATCACACATGCAGGTTTCTACCGGCTATTTGCTGCTAGCGATCTTCTGCAGCGGAAGCGTGGTGGCTATTTGCCTACGGAGGCGGAATTGAACTGCCCGTGTGCCGGTCGGTTCTTAACTTCATGCTCGTGTCGCTGTGTATATGTATGTTGACTTTGCAGAGCCAAGCGGGCAACACAGGGCCATGGTCAAGTCGAGTGTTCCGCAAGTGGATCCCACACCTAAAAGCAGCGCTCAGCTGTGGCACAATCCGCACGGAATGCCATGCCGAAGGACTGCTCACCGATATGCAGAAGAAGGAATTGATGGGAGTAGAATATGATTCTGCCAAACACAATGACCGACTGCTAGATATGCTGAGCAGGGGTACAGCTGAGACTTTCCACACCTTCTGTAGTATAGTGCGTAGCGCCGAACCTGAAGCAAACTTTTCAAAGTTCCTAGATGACATGCAGTCAGTTGATACCTGTGTTGGAGGTAAGTAGAAATTTTATCACTAAGGTGACTCAGAGACACTCACAGAATTGTACATGTCCAGCAAGTACTGTTGGATACCATTAGTACTTTGGTGACAATCTGAGAAACGTTCATGTTTGGAAAAGAAGAAGCGAGGACCCTGGTGTTCCAGCCTCAATGCCAACTTGGGCAAGCCACTAAACTCCCCTGGGTTCAGCTGACTATTTTGTGTAATGTGGAACCTACCAGAAGTTGGGCAGAGGAAAGTGGTGAGGGGGCGGTGTGTTGGGACGCATTGGGTTGGGATACGTTGGGGTGGGAAGCAATAGGCATGGGCTCCGGGTGGAACACAAGATGGCCACATCTCAGAAGGTTTTGGATTCCAAGGACGCATGGAGAGTTGGCCTTTCTCAGGATATCCAAACACCAGCGGCTGTACTGCGTAGCCGTGTCTTGTGGTCTTGTACATTCTGGCTGAAGAAGCTACAGGTCTTAGTCAAGCATGTTAACAACTGAATTTGTTGTCCTTCTACCGGTATGTTTGGTGGCGCATGCGTGTGTGGTCTCCAGTTTCTCCAGAATTTAAAAACGACAATAAAGAAGTAGAGCTGATGAAAGTGTTCTCAGCACCGGAACGTCAACGATTGGTCCACACTGCCGAGGATGTGGCACGAATGCGCACGTCACAGACCGTCCTTGACAAGAGAAAGAAACCCATCCACTTACCACAGCCAACCTCGCCTGTGAGCGTAGACTTGCTGAGCATGCGGAACATGGGAGAAGGTAGGCGCAGGGCTATGAGAGAGGCTAAACTGCACGTTAAATCTTGATGTGACGCGCAATTCTCCGTCAAACGGGTCCTCGACGTGAGCTGCAGGTCTCTCACGTTGTTTTTCAACGCGCGGGCCAAATAACGAGTCACGTCAAAAATAACATGCAGCTTATCCCCTCTTTTATCTACTGGTGTGGTGTTTGAACCCGGACCTGGAGCCAATGTTATCATGGAAAAAGAGGACAAAATATGCATTCAATCTACACGTAGCAGTATGTGCATTGTCCCAGTGATTGCATTTTCCCACAGTTGGAGACATCCGTTAGTGATGGTTTTACTCTCTCATTGTTCTTGTACATTGCAAGTACATCGTGTGCAGTAAGCCATGACTCACGTATAAACTGGAGTGCAAGGTGATTTTCTACCCTGTGCAATTTTCTGTCCACTAGAAATTTGCTTTCAGTTTTTATCATCCCGGTTCTGCTTTGCTCCTTTAAGGGTGGTAGGGTTCCTACGGATGCGGAGAGCTTGGCCTCTAGCTGAGTCTCAACCGATCCACGGAATTTATATTTTCCGGCTTTGGTCTTGCTCAGAACAATGGCAAGCGGCATTGACTGAAATCGACCACTTGGTGTCCAACACTATCATCACTGATGACGTGAAGGACTGTGCAGATGAGGCAGGGAAGTACCAGGGTCACGTGACACGGACCGACGGCCGAGTTGGTAAGCAATAAATTGTACCTGTGTCTAGTGCATCAGCATGTACAGTTTGCAGATTGGGAATATCTCATCACCACCACCGCCGCCGCCGCCGCCGCCTTCGCCGCCACCACCACCACCACCACCACCACCACCATCACCACCACCACCACCACCACCACCACCCTGCTTTGTGCTGTAGCAGCTGGTGCAATGCTTGGTGCTCTCCCCAGGGCTTCGTTGTTTGCGCACACTCTTGCTTCTCTGTAATGCTCTTCAATGCGGTCCCTGACACAGCGCTGGGTCTCTCCCACATAATCTTCTCCATGAAACAAACAGAGCATTGAGTAGATAACATTCGACTACATAAACTGACCGTCACTCGTACCAACATCACATTCACAACATTCCCTTTGCCTCCACCTTCTCTTCTCCTTTCTGTACACCTCTCGGGAGGGGTGGGGGCACTCAGGATTGGTGAATGAAGACAGCACCAGCATGTCTTTCAGAGATCTACCAGGCTGAAAGACACCACACGCGCTCCTATTGAATGGCAATCGTCATGGACCAAACTGCAATCACTGATGAATAGAACATTGAGGCTGGGCGCGAATGTATTCTTGGTGCGGCCGGTAGCTTGTCTTGGCATGGGTGTGCTCAAACCCATCCAGGCTCTCAGTCGTTGTTTAAACTTATCTGAACTGGCTTTCACTGTGTTTGGTGTGTTTGTCCATTTTGCATCTTTCTCGTCTGTCGCAGAAAAATCACCAGCTGATATACATAGAGAGTTAAGTAAGCACCCTTGTTTCATCAGCATGGGCACTGGATCTGGCAGGGATGACCGCAGCATTTCAGAGACCAAGCAGTACTTGAAGGATACTGGCTTCATCGACGAGAACACGGTCATCACAGAGATCACTGAATATGAACGAGTCCCTGTGACCAGGCTGGCCATTCGTGACAGCAAACGACTGAAGTTTAAAGGTCAGCATTACTGTGCTAGCATGATTGCGCGATTGCTTGATAAGGGAGCTGCCCGATGCCAGATAGTCTGTCATTTTACATAACTCACCCCGCTTTCCGAGCTCCACTTTCCACCTTTCATGTATATGTGTGTGTGTGTGTGTGTGCGTGCGTGCGTGCGTGCGTGCGTGCGTGCGTGTATGGGTGTGTGCGCATGCACGAGCAAGAACTACTGCCTCGCCTAATAGCTATCATTGCCTTCAGCGATGGGCTTTCCAAAGGTCCAAAGGTGTGTGTGTGTGTGTGTGTGTGTGTGTGTGTGTGTGTGTGTGTGTGTGTGTGTGTGTGTGTGTGTGTGTGTGTGTGTGTGTGTGTGTGTGTGTGTGTGTGTGTGTGTGTGTGTGTGTGTGTATGGGTGTGTGCGCATGCACGAGCAAGAACTACTGCCTCGCCTAATAGCTATCATTGCCTTCGGCGATGGGCTTTCCAAAGATGTGTGTGTGTGTGTGTGTGTGTGTGTTTGTGTGTGTTTGTGTGTGTATGGGTGTGTGCGCATGCACGAGCATGAGTATGTGTGTGTGCACACAAGCGTGTGTGTAGCGCGTGTGTGTATGTGCCTGCGCACATGTGTGTGTGGGGGGGGGGGGAAGTTTGCCAATGTGTGCATGTATTTGGGCCATCATTTCCCATATTACGCTAGTACCATGTAAGCAAGTGATCAGATATGAACGGCAAAGAGGTATAGGTTACCTGATACTTGTACATGTGAGCATCCGGTCGTTTGTATTGCCGGTTCTACACTTGAGATGGTATCCAGTATGTGTCACATGATATTGTGTGCATCCCGCCATGTTTTTCATGCACGTACTAGTAAACATGACGAGCAGATCAAAGGTGCAGGTGCAAAGGCCGCATCTTGGTCTTATACGAAATTGAAATTTTTGTGCTAGACTAATAGCGAAAACTGATTATACTCACAAGTTAAAGTGGAAGTTAAGGTTAAAAATCAAATTTTCTCCAGTTGTAGTCTTCGGGGTGCTGAGTCGAATGGTCTTGGTCCGAGGAAGCTGAGATGCTCCCTTCCTACTTTAATCCCAATCGAACTCGTGCATTTCCACCGAAACTGGGTGACTGCGCCCTACGAGATGGGGATTTGTATGCAAAATGTCACTAAAAGCGCCATTTCGTTCTTATGAAAGCACGGATGACCGCGATTGGCCCATATGTTGTAGTCTTTTGGCCGCTGAGTCGACTGGTTTTGGTCCGAAAAGGCTGCGATGCAGCATTCGGCTCTTATTCCCAATCGAACATGCTTGAACAAGTGGTCACGTGCTCCTGCGTTCACCAGTCACCTGGTCACCGTGCCTGCAGGGTACAACTTACTAGCCTGTTTGACCTTTTTTGGGTGCAGTCCTGTCACTCGAGTTGAACTCGAGTTGAACCTTGGTGTGAAAGTTGTCGCCTGCTGGCGCTGTGATCAGGTGACTTGGGCACGCAGGAGCACGTGACCGCTTGTTCAATCATGTTAGATTGGGAATAGAGGAGGAACGCTGCATCGCAGCTTTCTCGGACCAAAACCAGTCGACTCAGCGTCCAAAAGACTACAACATATGGGCCAATCGCGGTCATCCGTGCTTTTATAAGAACGAAATGGCGCTTTTAGTGACATTTTGCATACAAATCCCCATATCGTAGGGCGCAGTCACCAAGTTTCGGTGGAAGTGCGCAAGTTCGATTGGGATTAAAGTAAGAAGGGAGCGTCTCAGCTTCCTCGGACCACGACCATTCGACTCAGCACCCCGAAGACTTCAACTGGTGAAATTTTGATTTTAGCCTTAACTTCCCCTTTAATGATGCTCAATTCCCTCATTACTTCATGACACAACCTATTTACTCTTCAGGGCTATCCATTGCTATCACTTCATGCTTACTTGCATGAAAAATACAATCACCTCTTTCAGTCGAACTTCCCCATTTTCTTCTTTATTCGGTCTCTGACTTGATGGATGTGTACATGCGTGAACGTGCATGTGTCACTGTGCATGCATATACACTGTTATTATTCTGAAACAGATCAGAGCTCATCTATAGTGAAGTTCATCATCGACTGTGAATATAATCAGACGGCCCCGAGTTTCACTAACATGGTCATACGTAATCTCCGCAATCTCCTTGGCGATTGGAGCATCCACGCCGACATAGTGCACGGCGAGAGCGGAGGCACAGCAGTGTTTGTACAGATGTCTGCCAAGGCTCATACCAGGCTCTGGGAGTTCTGTAAGGATCGATCTAGCCTGCTCGCTGGTCTGCACATTCTCGAAGTGTCAACTGTGGACGGAGCAGTAGCCTTCATTATCCGTCCCACGACATGCAGTGGCGAAGGTAAGACGAATTGGTGCTGTAGGAAATAGGAATGCACCGATAGAAGCCAGTTAACTCCCTAGCCTTGCTTCCACGATGATAGGGAAGTCATCACTAGTCAACAGACGACTGGCTGTCGTCTGGGAAAGTGGTTGGTGCATGCACATTTCGGTCCATGATGTTTGTCCGCACACAAGTTTTCGAGGAGACCCTTTTGACAGAACAAAGTAGTGTTCACAACCAAACAGCTTCATTGATATGCTTCAATTTACCTCTGGAGCAAAAAGTTCGAGAAACTTTGTTTTCTTGTTCAGGTATTACTCCTGATGACCAGAAGCGCTTGGTTGAAGAGTTCTCCAAGAGATTTCCATCCTTGGACCGAGATGAGCTGTCTGTCGCTGTGGCTGACCAACAGAACGTTCAGCATGCAGTGATTGCACTGACCAAGCTCGTCTTCGATGATGATGGAGCATGCTTGAATGCACTGCCTGAGATTCTTGGTGGTGAGTTTCAATACCATTGTTTTGTGGTTGTGTTGCGTGTACTGTGTCTATTTGGTCCTGCTGTCACTGTTGCGAACCGGTGTGCATCAGCGATAATATTTACATCGTGTTATGAAAGCACAAACGCCGTATCATTTTGGCAATGTCACTGGGAGCATAATGAAGAGAAATGGTGCGTATTGCCCCATCGGACTAATCGGAGGACGGTTTGTTGCATGTATTGATGAACTTGTGGTCCTTTAGAAAAGCCTCCCTTTGTACTGAACTTCTCCAGGCCATTTTGCTGCAAGTAGAATTTTCAGTAAGTCTGTGGAGGGTATTCCCCTATAAAGGTGATGTGTGTGTGGGGGGGGGGGGGGGGAAGGAGGGGGAGGGGGACATGTGAATCTCTCGCATCTTAGCACCAGCAACGTTACACGCTGTTATGCGGGATTCACAGGAGCATTTTTACGATGCAATACGCAATGCGACATCCGCGAAATCAGGAAATTCCCAAAACGCACCGATCGCACAGCTCACTCAGCCGTCACAACTGGCCCATCGCAGAAGTTGAGCTTGCCACTGCTTGGCTCAATTTTCGCGATGCGACATGCGATGTGATGAATGGTTTTGTAGTCCGCCGGCTGTCGCCGTGTCCAACCATTTACGCGGGTCACTGTCTGAAACTGGAGTAGCCATGTCCTCCAATCGCTGTCACGGTTACCAGAAAATTTCTGGGGAGTAGCCCCAGCACGAACAGGGACACCAGCTGCCCGGTTTCCCACAACACCTGCTGCAGCTGGCAGTGGTGGTGGTGGAGGTGGAGGTGCTACTGCAGCAGCTGCTTGCGCCTGAGCACCACGAGCACCATGATGAGCCATTATGCTATACTGCTCTGTGACTGATTTTCGAAATTTTATTTATTTTTCAGCCACTTCCAAATTCGAAAGAGCCTGACAAAACTACTTTATCGCTGCCACCAGATGTAACCTGCTTGCTTGCAGGATTACTTAGGATTATTTTATTTCCACAGAAGTCAAAGAAAAGAATTACAATAATGAATTCAATATTTAACTCGGATGGTGAGCCTATTAAATTATTGTGAAAGGAAGAAGGACAAAATGTTAAGAGTTATGACTAACTGTCCACCAACGTAACCAGATCTTATAAAGTCAGCGTCGAGTTGTAGTAAGGCCGGTATGTCCAATAGTCTTACTAGTTTCGTCATCATCCAGTAACTTTCGGCATTCTTTGTTGCCGTGATGCGTAGTTCGTGCTCTTCTTCGTTGCGCTTTCCTTCCCCTCTTGGACCTTTCCGAACCTGAGCCTTCCAAGTTGGAAGGTTGTTGGTTTGCGCCTTGGAGAAGTGTTGGAGCTAGGTGTCAGGCTGCCGAATGTCTCAGTACTCCTTGTCAGTTTTGTGCCATTTTGTCGCACTCGCTGACTGTATAAGATCTGGTTACGTTGGTGGACAGTTAGTCATAACTCGTAGCATTTGGTCCTTCTTCTTTTCACAATAATAATGAATTCACTCCAGGAGCAAAGACAAAATCCCACAAGTAAAAGGAACATTCCTTATTGGAGGGTATAACGTCCCAATCCTTGAAAAATGCCAATAATCTGGCAACAATGTGTACACATGGTGCACTCGTGCATGCAGTGCAGGTCATTTTTTGTACGAGACTGATAGCTCCCGGTTATAAGTCGAATCCCGGTTGTAAGTCGACCCCCACCCTTTCTCCGGCTATTTCAAGTCGTAAAAGGTCGACTTACAACCGGAAAAATACGGTATGTAGCTAATATATTATCATTATTATTAAAAGCATGTCCGCGTAGGTGGCGGGGGTGCCACTTTCGCTTATGCCATTCAGGATTGATGTCTGAAGAGTAATACGATACAATGTAGCTAATAAGGCATATAAATGAAACTGCTCATCATATGGATATAAACATGAGATTGCAGACAGACATACATGTTACATAAGTATAACCTTCACTGGGGGCAGGGGCAACTGCACATGGATCCCTGGACGGATACCCTGATGCAGTCAATCCTTTTTCTACACCTTGTCCTCACCCACTTATTGGGGTGTGGTGAGACCATAAGTGGGATCATTTTCCAAGTCCATCCAGACTTTCGGGAGGGGGTGTCATCAGTCGGGAGGTTACGAGCTCGTAATAGCCAATTGAGTTATCTTCCAAGATTCCTTTTGAATCTCTCCCCTCTCCCGGGGAGACCCACATCACCAGTTTTGGCAGTGAGCAAATATGTGTGTGTGTGTGTGTGTGTGTGTGTGTGTGTGTGTGTGTGTGTGCGTGCGCATGTGCGTGTCTGTCTGTGTGTTTGTCTGTATGTCTCTCTGACTGTATGTCTGCCTGCCTGCCTGCCTGCCTGCCTGCCTGCCTGCATGCCTGCCTGCCTGCTTGCATGCCTGCATGCCTGCCTGCATGCCTGCCTGCATGCCTGCCTGTTTGTCTGTCTGTCTGTAGGTTCAGCTTATGCTCCAAATACTCGTGGCATGCGTAAAGTCATCGATGAGGCTACTCTTAGCAGCACAATGACACGCGTACGCCGGATTCGCGTCGGCCTCATCGGCCAGTTTGGTAGTGGCAAGACAAGCCTGGCTGGCTCGCTAAGGGGTGAAGAATTTCGTCCAGACAAATCCAGCACTCCATTCCTTGAAGTGCATCAACATGGCCTGCGGCTGCGTGATGGCAAACTTCAAGAATGGGAATTCTCGACTGCTCATCTGGAAGGATCTCGGTTCATACGCGATGCGGAGACACGCACAACTGATCGTAAACGATGGCAGGATGAGAATAGAAGAAAAAGTGAGGAGCGGAAGTCTGAGCTAGAAGCCAAAGCCAATGTTTCTCATGATGGTCGTCCACCTCATAAATCTGGAAAGCAGCATCAACCAGAACATACACAGCTTGCCACTTCTAAACCAGAATTCGGGCAGGGAAAGGAAAAGAAAGGTGAAGAATCCAAGAGTACCATCTCTAGGAGTCATGGACAAGAAATGCCAGGAGACAAAATTCTGGATGATGGATCAAATGATACCGCCCAAAAGAGTGTTGCACCAGCAAAGTCAACAGTCAATAAACCGGATGATCCTGAGCTAATCAGCGCGGGTGAACTCACTCAAGGTGTGATTAACGAAATCATTGCCAACAGAGAGCTGATGCGGAATGTGCGAGATGAAGAGGTGATCATGTCCATGTGGGACTGTGGTGGTCAGTCAATCTTCTCCAGTCTGCAGCACTTCATGTTGAGTGAGAGCTTTGTCATCTATCTTCTTTGCTTCGACTCTGTTGAATCCCTGCACTTGATCAAGCCACAAGCCTTCAGACCTGGAGAAGCTGCTGCCCCTGAGGTTATCGATGTGGCAAAAGAACTGGAGAACATCGACCACATCCGCCACTGGTTGACAGCAGTTCACTTCGCAAGCACAGCTGACATCGCAGCAGTCCAGCAAGACCACGTCTCCTATCCGCCAATCATCATGGTTGGAAACTTTGCTGACAAACTTGACCCAGATCTGAGCTTGCAGCAACACAAAGACATGATCTGGAGCAATTTGTGCAAGCTTTGCTGCAGATCACCAGTATTTGCAGCCATGCAGTCTAACTCCGACGGTATATCAACGTGCGATGCCAACTCCTTATTCCTGGTCAACAACCGGGAGCCGAATGCATCACCTGAAGTCCATCAAATCCACACGAAAATCCAGGAAGCCACGTCGATTGTCCTAAAAGGGAAGGAGATGCCAAAGTCATGGGTTCGCTTCGAGTGGATTCTACAGCATCTCAACCAGGTGTACAAGGAGAAAGGATACACTAGTCATGAATGGATGAAGACGATGGTAGCAGAGGCATGCAAAATCCAAGACGAACGCGAGCTGGAGGAGCTTCTACTGTTCTACCACAGCATGCGTGTCATCATCTACAAACCGACCAAGAATCCGCCTCAGCCAGATGACCTCATCTTCTACAACGTGCAGTGGCTTATCAAGCAGATCAACCGATTCATGTTTGGTAAGAAGTACCTGAAGCATGAACTTGGCAAAAAAGCGGGTAGCTTCTATGCAAGCTCCATGGAAGAAGCGGAGGCGATAGATCTTCACAACAACCTCTGGCAGAAAGGCACAGCAAGCATGCGTCTAGTGAACATCACTCTGGCCTCCATCCCACCCGATATCCGTACTAAGGTAATAGACGTGATGGCTGACTGGGATCTGCTCTATGAACTTGAAAGCAACTCCGAGCGCTATCTCGTGCCATCAGCCCTGCACAAGCAGAACCCGCAGAAAATCGAAGCTGCACTGGACAGTTTCAGCATGGAAGAAGCGAAGATCGATAGCATTCATTTCTCTACAGCTGATACACCATTGCTCATTGCTGTGGAACCACTGAAGGCCCTACATGAGGACAGCATGCTCCATGCGCCAGCCACGCCGATGCCACATAGCTCCTACTTCAAGCTACTAGTGCGTCTCTTCAAGAAATGGGACATCAGAAGCATCAGCACCAGCCACTGTGAGCTCACGTACAACACCGCCAGGCTAAGGCTGCCTAATGAATACCTCGACTTGGATGAGTTCAAGGATGGCCACGTGGAGATCTTCATGGCTCACTACGACTCATCAGGTGCATTGCTGGTGAGCCTGAACTTCCAGCATCCTCTCTGCACATTCCAACCCGGTCATATCAGCACGGCAGACAAGAGGCTTTGCTCGATATCATCCATCTGCCAACAAGTCTGCAAGGACATAGTTGCGGAGTTGAAAGAGCTTCCGTTCGTCACGACATTCTCTGTGCCACTCGCCAATGACAATGTCTGTGGATGCCAACGTGATGAATGGTCTGACCACACTACAAGATGCCGCGATCTTGGATATGCACCGTGGCGCGTGCGTTTTGCTGAGCAGTCTACCGACGTTGCAGCCAGCAGTCACGTCATGGAAGCTGCTTACCCGGACGGCAATCCCTGCATTAAATGCAAGCAAGATATCCAAGTTCCCAACAACTCGCATTGCTGGTTCAATGACACGGAGTTCAAGGTAAGAAGTTGATAGATGTCTCCTGTTTTCCTGAGTGTGCAATGAATGTTTGTACCCATGGTGGTTTCAAGCACGCTTGATCTTCAAGGAAGCTACACTAATCCGACCCCAAGTGCAGATGTTGGCATCATTTTGCAACTTTACCTGGAGGTCATAGGTCTGGAAGTAGTACAAGAGCTCCTGGGTGCTAAGAATCTTTAGCCTGCACTCTGTCTGCATGCAAGGGGTACTCTGTGTGGACAGAGATTTAACACAACTGCTTTGAGTACGTG